ATATATAAGAGTTATTTTATTTATTTATATAATAATAATAATAATAGTCATTTAAAAAAACTTGCAATAAAATACACATAAATAGAAATAAAATAGAATATAAACAAATAAAAACATTTATCTTATTTTATGTATATTTTTCATTTTGTTTATCTTGATTCTGAAATGTTACTAAAATAACTAAAACTCAAATAAAAAAATAAATAGACATTAAAAGAAAACTAATAAAAACAAAAAACTCAATTACTAAAACAAATTACTGTAATACTATAGTTACTGTAATTAAAATGAAAACAAAAAATATTAAAATAACTATTTATAAACATTGATACCAAAACTACACTGTGCATGTGTGTCGTAAAAAGTATTTTTTATTAAAAAAAGAACATTCAAAATGTTTAATTCAAACAAATACAATAAAATAAAATAATCAAGGCTTTTTTAACTAAATGAACATAATATTTAGTAAGTTTCATTCACAAGTTAACCATTAATATGCACTAATATTACACTACTAATTAATAATGCATATATTATTTTCATGAAAACACTTTAAAGAGATTTCCATGACCAATTTTGAGTAATTATGCAAATTATTGAATTGTTGAGACTCAATTCAATAAAATGACAGTTTGAACTGAGTCATGGAAATGACTCAAACTTAAACTAAAAGTAATAAGTTTCAAATATTAACTAATGATAACAAACTAATAAATTAATACATTTAAATCAGAGATGCTATTAAAACATCTAATGACTTGCAAGACAAGGATTGCAGACTTAACCTAATGGCACAGTCTTTTGCAAACTGAATGTGCAAATAAAAAGCAATATTCACAATGTTTATATCACCCAGCAAAATCTCTGTCAATATTCTATATATGCACAGCATACTTCCCTCAGTCTGTCAGCTGCACCTCAACACAACACCAGCAACCCCACATTTGCAAACACCAACATCCCCCCCATCATTTCAGCCCATCAATGTCACAGCCTCCACCGGGACATTCTGTACTCCTCCTAAATGGATGGATGTGTGCAGCTCTTTAGCCGACATTTCTCTCATTCATTTAGTGGCTGGAGGTGTGGAGAGCTGATAGCCGACCCATAAGCACTATTACACATGTGGCCTGCATGCAAACGGCTGTTTAAACGCAGTGCCTGCATTAAAGCCCATTTTTCTTCACAGCTCATCAGAGCTCAGAGACATTAGGTGTCTGCTAAAGGAATGAACTGAAACAATGACTTAAATTCAGCGTGAATGAGTTTCACACCACCTGCTTAGTAAGGAAACACACCACAAAATTTAAATTTAGAGGGGTGGGTCTATATCTGCATACTGATGAAGCATAAAACATGTAAAGAAAAAAGCATGAGACAGACAGACAGACAGACAGATAGACAGATAGACATAGATAGATAGATAGATAGATAGATAGATAGATAGATAGATAGATAGATAGATAGATAGATAGATAGATAGATAGATAGATAGATAGATAGATAGATAGATGGATAGATGGATAGATGGATAGATGGATAGATAGATAGATAGATAGAATGGCAGAACAATGAAATGATAGACAGAATGATAGAACGATAGAACAGTAGAATGTTACAATGATAAGAGAGTGTTAGAATATTAGATAGAATGTTAAAATGAGCGACAGACAGATAGACAGATAGATAGATAGATAGATAGATAGATAGATAGATAGATAGATAGATAGATAGATAGATAGATAGATAGATAGATAGATAGATAGATAGATAGATAGATAGATAGAACAATGAAATGATAGAATGATAGAACAGTCGAATTTTATAATAAGAGTGTTAGAACATTAGAATGTTAGAATGTATATTAAAATGATAGATAGAGCGACAGATAGAATGCTAGATAGAGCGACAGATAGAATGCTAGATAGAGCGACAGATAGAATGCTAGATAGAGCGACAGATAGAATGCTAGATAGAGCGACAGATAGAATGCTAGATAGAGCGACAGATAGAATGCTAGATAGAGCGACAGATAGAATGCTAGATAGAACGATAGATGGACAGACAGACTAAACACAGTGAACAGAGTATGAACGGCTCTTACAGTAATAGGTTAGAGTGCATTCAGTATCAGAGAGACACTCAGTGAGTGTCCTGCAGTGAGAAACATTACGGCTTCCGATCCCTCAATCAAAAGCAGCCACACTGTTTAATCAATACAGAAAGCACTTTACTGAACATGAGAGCACAGAGACTCATCTGGCCTGAGGGAGAAAATACACTCAAGCGCGTGGGGAAGAATGAGACAGCGTTACCTTTTTGGCTCTTTGGCTTATATTTGGTCCTTTACTAAGCAGCTTTTCATTCAAGTACTCTCGATTCTACAACACAGAGGCAAGAGGGGGAAAATACATAGCATATATCAGTGACAGACCACTGTGAAGCACTGGTTAAAGCATTTGAAGTATGGAGGGCGAGTATACTGCCGTACCTTAGCCTTTTGGAAAAATTTACATTTCAAAAGCTCGGCTGCAGTGGGCCTGTGGAGATGAGAAAGAGCGCTTGATGCTGACATTTTCAGACAGTTCCACATTTCAAGACACTCAACAATAAGGATTTTTTTGTTGTTGTTGTTCTGGCCAGTAGTTCAGATATTACTTGACCTGGCGGCATTTTCACTGGCCACTGTTTCAAATCTGGAGCATGCATATGCATACATAGATAAATAAATGTGTGTGTGTGTGTGTGTGTGTGTGTGTGTATGTTAGATTACTGTATTTTATTTAATATCAATATTAATATTATATAATATCTATTTGATACATTGAAATAACTTTTACTAATTCCATTCCAAATAAAATATAATATTTGATATTTTATCAAATATAAACATTAATATAATATAGATAGATAGATAGATAGATAGATAGATAGATAGATAGATAGATAGATGGATAGATGGATAGATGGATAGATGGATAGATAGATAGATAGATAGAATGGCAGAACAATGAAATGATAGACAGAATGATAGAACGATAGAACAGTAGAATGTTACAATGATAAGAGAGTGTTAGAATATTAGATAGAATGTTAAAATGAGCGACAGACAGATAGACAGATAGATAGATAGATAGATAGATAGATAGATAGATAGATAGATAGATAGATAGATAGATAGAACAATGAAATGATAGAATGATAGAACAGTCGAATTTTATAATAAGAGTGTTAGAACATTAGAATGTTAGATAGAATATTAAAATGATAGATAGAGCGACAGATAGAATGCTAGATAGAGCGACAGATAGAATGCTAGATAGAACGATAGATGGACAGACAGACTAAACACAGTGAACAGAGTATGAACGGCTCTTACAGTAATAGGTTAGAGTGCATTCAGTATCAGAGAGACACTCAGTGAGTGTCCTGCAGTGAGAAACATTACGGCTTCCGATCCCTCAATCAAAAGCAGCCACACTGTTTAATCAATACAGAAAGCACTTTACTGAACATGAGAGCACAGAGACTCATCTGGCCTGAGGGAGAAAATACACTCAAGCGCGTGGGGAAGAATGAGACAGCGTTACCTTTTTGGCTCTTTGGCTTATATTTGGTCCTTTACTAAGCAGCTTTTCATTCAAGTACTCTCGATTCTACAACACAGAGGCAAGAGGGGGAAAATACATAGCATATATCAGTGACAGACCACTGTGAAGCACTGGTTAAAGCATTTGAAGTATGGAGGGCGAGTATACTGCCGTACCTTAGCCTTTTGGAAAAATTTACATTTCAAAAGCTCGGCTGCAGTGGGCCTGTGGAGATGAGAAAGAGCGCTTGATGCTGACATTTTCAGACAGTTCCACATTTCAAGACACTCAACAATAAGGATTTTTTTGTTGTTGTTGTTCTGGCCAGTAGTTCAGATATTACTTGACCTGGCGGCATTTTCACTGGCCACTGTTTCAAATCTGGAGCATGCATATGCATACATAGATAAATAAATGTGTGTGTGTGTGTGTGTGTGTGTGTGTGTATGTTAGATTACTGTATTTTATTTAATATCAATATTAATATTATATAATATCTATTTGATACATTGAAATAACTTTTACTAATTCCATTCCAAATAAAATATAATATTTGATATTTTATCAAATATAAACATTAATATAATATCTAACATAAAATACTGCTATACAATATATGTTCCATAAGTTTATTGTACAGCGAAATATATAATTAGCCATTTATATCAATATTGCTATTGTTCTATCATTTTAAAATATATATATATATATATCACACAATTAAAACTATTTATAAACACTTTTGATTCGAGCCCAACATTCCAAATTATGCATTATATTTAATAAAATATAATATTTGAGATCAATCTAAAATAATATTTAAAAAAATTAAATTAAATTAACATATTAAAATGCTACCATACAATATACAAGTCATTAGTTTAATTTACAGTACAATGTATAATTAACTAGTAATTTATATTAATATTGTATAGTGATACTGCACAGTTATCATGTTACCATTATATCAAATTATTATAGTCCCCCAATGTCCATTGTGTTGACCAGATGAGGCAGCTGATATAGAAAGCAAACAGACCAGCAGCAATTTATTGTCTCAAGATCGCATTAGTTCATCCATATCTATTTGAGCTACTTTGTCTGTGTGGCATTTCTTTTATTGACTGCGATTTATCTTTAGAGAGACCAAATGGCGAGCAAACGAAGGACAGACACTGAACTGCTATTCAATAATATACCAAACACAATTGGAATCAAAATGTTTGCTTCTAGTATTAAGGCCTTTGCTGAAGCTTCTGGTCATGCAAGGAAACAGTTCTGAAGTCTGCACACCATTCAGCATTCTGAGACACAAATTTACTAATTTGTGTAAACAAGTAAGGCAGGTTTGTCAATTCAGATTACCTCTTGGCAGGGTCCTTCTGAAGGCACAAGGATATAAGTTTTCTAAAAGATTTCCCATACTTCTTAAGCATCTCTTTGTCCTCAACCCCAGTCTCCAAGGTTGGAGGATCGTTCTGCAGCGTGAGCATTAAAACCTGCAAATCAGCAGAAAGACATGATCCGATATGAAAATAGATACATTAGAATGAATGAAAGAGCGATAGATAGATAAAGTAGATAGATTTATTTAGATATTTATTTATTCATTCATTCTTTGACTTTTTAACGCCATGCCAGCATCAAGTTTATTTTCATGGCGATCTCAGAATAAATTACACAAGGCATACAATTAACAAAAAGTTATAAAAGACGTTTCAAATCTACAAAAGAATTCTAAAATTAACTTTTTAAATAAATCAGTTATGCACACCTCATAAAACTAAATAAAACCGTTATTTATTTACATTAAAAACAGTACAATCTAATAAAATATGCTTCACAGTCATTTTTGTTTGGCAAGTAAGGCATGATGGTGGTTCTTCACCTTTTAATAAATATCCATGTGTAAGTCTTGCATGACCTAAAGGACACCTTGTAAAAACAACTTGGTCATACCTAGATTTAAAATTAGTAAAATAAAATATTTTTCTTACACTAGGATTTATTTCATATAGCTTATTTTTGTGACATTCACCCCATTCCATCTGCCACATGTCATTAATATAAGAGTTTATCACAGGTTTGACATCACAGAAAGGAATTTGACACTCAATGTGACACTAGTGTCAAATATTCAGGTTGAGTGCTTATTTTTAAAGTAGATAGAAGAACAGAACAGTAGAATGAACAGTAGATAAAACTAACAAACAATAGACAGACAGATAGATGAATGGAATGACAGAACAATATGGATGGATGGATGGATGGATGGAGTGACAGAACATGGATGACTGGATAGATGCAAGGATGGAAGGATAAAAGAATGGATGGATGCATGAATGGAAGGACAGAAAATATTGTATATATGGTTGGATGGATGACAGAATGACAGATGGATGGATGAATGGGTGGGTGGGTGTTTGGATGGATGGATGGATGGATGGTTGGATGGATGGATGGATGGATGGATGGATGACAGAATGACAGATGGATGGATGGATGGGTGGGTGGGTGTTTGGATGGATGACAGAATAATAGATGGATAGATGGATAGAGTGACAGAACATAGATGACTGGATAGATTGAAGGATGGAAGGATAAAATAATGGATGGATGCATGAATGGAATGACAGAAAATATTGTATATATGGTTGGATGGATGACAGAATGACAGATGGATGGATGGATGGGTGGGTGGGTGTTTGGATGGATGGATGGTTGGATGGATGGATGCATGAATGGAATGACAGAAAATATTGTATATATGGTTGGATGGATGACAGAATGACAGATGGATGGATGGATGGGTGGGTGGGTGTTTGGATGGATGGATGGTTGGATGGATGGATGACAGAATGACAGATGGATGGATGGATGGGTGGGTGGGTGTTTGGATGGATGGATGGTTGGATGGATGGATGACAGAATAATAGATGGATAGATAGATGGAGTGACAGAACATAGATGACTGGATAGATGGAAGGATGGAAGGATAAAAGAATGGATGGATGCATGAATGGAATGACAGAAAATATTGTATATATGGTTGGATGGATGACAGAATGACAGATGGATGGATGGATGGTGTCAATTCAGATTACCTCTTGGCAGGGTCCTTCTGAAGGCACAAGGATATAAGTTTTCTAAAAGATTTCCCATACTTCTTAAGCATCTCTTTGTCCTCAACCCCAGTCTCCAAGGTTGGAGGATCGTTCTGCAGCGTGAGCATTAAAACCTGCAAATCAGCAGAAAGACATGATCCGATATGAAAATAGATACATTAGAATGAATGAAAGAGCGATAGATAGATAAAGTAGATAGATTTATTTAGATATTTATTTATTCATTCATTCTTTGACTTTTTAACGCCATGCCAGCATCAAGTTTATTTTCATGGCGATCTCAGAATAAATTACACAAGGCATACAATTAACAAAAAGTTATAAAAGACGTTTCAAATCTACAAAAGAATTCTAAAATTAACTTTTTAAATAAATCAGTTATGCACACCTCATAAAACTAAATAAAACCGTTATTTATTTACATTAAAAACAGTACAATCTAATAAAATATGCTTCACAGTCATTTTTGTTTGGCAAGTAAGGCATGATGGTGGTTCTTCACCTTTTAATAAATATCCATGTGTAAGTCTTGCATGACCTAAAGGACACCTTGTAAAAACAACTTGGTCATACCTAGATTTAAAATTAGTAAAATAAAATATTTTTCTTACACTAGGATTTATTTCATATAGCTTATTTTTGTGACATTCACCCCATTCCATCTGCCACATGTCATTAATATAAGAGTTTATCACAGGTTTGACATCACAGAAAGGAATTTGACACTCAATGTGACACTAGTGTCAAATATTCAGGTTGAGTGCTTATTTTTAAAGTAGATAGAAGAACAGAACAGTAGAATGAACAGTAGATAAAACTAACAAACAATAGACAGACAGATAGATGAATGGAATGACAGAACAATATGGATGGATGGATGGATGGATGGAGTGACAGAACATGGATGACTGGATAGATGCAAGGATGGAAGGATAAAAGAATGGATGGATGCATGAATGGAATGGCAGAAAATATTGTATATATAGATGACAGATGGACGGATGGATGGATGGATGGATGGATGGATGGATGGAATGGACGGAGGGACGGATGGATAGATGGATGATGGATGGGTGGATGGATGGATGATGGATGGAATGGCGGGTGGATGGATGGATGGATGGATGGGTGTTTGGATGGATGACAGAATAATAGATGGATAGATAGATGGAGTGACAGAACATAGATGACTGGATAGATTGAAGGATGGAAGGATAAAATAATGGATGGATGCATGAATGGAATGACAGAAAATATTGTATATATGGTTGGATGGATGACAGAATGACAGATGGATGGATGGATGGGTGGGTGGGTGTTTGGATGGATGGATGGTTGGATGGATGGATGACAGAATAATAGATGGATAGATAGATGGAGTGACAGAACATAGATGACTGGATAGATGGAAGGATGGAAGGATAAAAGAATGGATGGATGCATGAATGGAATGACAGAAAATATTGTATATATAAATGACAAATGGGTGGGTGGATGGATGGGTGGATGGATGGTTGGATGGATGGATGACAGAATGACAGATGGATGGATGGATGGATGGGTGGGTGGGTGTTTGGATGGATGGATGGTTGGATGGATGGATGCATGAATGGAATGACAGAAAATATTGTATATATGGTTGGATGGATGACAGAATGACAGATGGATGGATGGATGGATGGGTAGGTGGATAGATGACAATAATAGATGGATAGACGGATGGAGTGACAGAACATGGATGACTGGATAGATGAAAGGATGGAAGGATAAAAGGATGGAAGGATGGAAGGATAAAAGGATGGAAGGATGGAAGGATAAAAGAATGGATGGATGCATGAATGGAATGACAGAAAATATTGTATATATAGATGACAGATGGACGGATGGATGGATGGATGGATGGATGGATGGATGAATGCATGAATGGCATGACAGATACTGGACACTCTGCAAAACATTTCCTTTTCCTATTTTCAGAAAGAAAGCCTGAACAATATCAAAGTAAATATAAATTCTGATCATTTTCATTCTAGATGACCTGCTGCTCACATTAGATACGGTTCAGCTGTGCAGGCTTTGCATTCATTTAGTTAATATCGGCAATACAGACAATTAAAATGCATCTCCAACTCTTGAATTACTTTGTGTAACTGTTATAATTCCATATGCAAAAGAGGTTATGAATGGTCACATGATCTGACGGTCATTGTGTTTACCTTCATAGGGGGGTAGCGATGATACGGCGCAGAGCCTGTTGCCAGTTCAATGGCAGTGATTCCGAAACTCCAAATGTCAGCTTTGAAGTCGTAACCCCGCACCTGTGGTCACATGATATGCTACTGTAACTGATCACCAGATGATGGAATAACAGACTATAACAGACCCACACCAGTCATAAACAGCGCTTTTTTCACGGCAGATTATTCCAATTATTAAACAATCTCTATGATCTGCACTAGAACAGTTGAATGGTTATTAATAATTCATAGTATCAGAAGATCTCTTAGAAATCGTCTAGCTGTGAACACTTTCCTGGTGCCAAGATCCATTATATTTACAGTAAATGACAGAAACACGTTGGCAAAACCTGTTACAAAACCTAGTGAGTGTCTTTCTTCTTAGGCAGCAACTTTGCAATTGATTCAGTTAGCATATCGCTGATCTAAATCCATGATACTCGAAGCACAAAAATGAATAGCACACAGAAATATTGAGTAAAATGGTCCATTCAAATTAAACTTGGGATGAGTATAATTTTGTTTTTATTTTTGCTAGAAACTGACACCTTGAATTCAGCAAAGATGGATTAAATTGATCAAAAGTGACACGACATTAACATTGTTATGAAAGATTTATATTTTAAATAAATGCTGGCTTGAATATTTTTTTCATCAAAGAATCCTAAAAATAACTGTTTTCAACATTTATGATAATAAGAAATGTTTCCTGAGCAGCAAATCAGCATATTAGATGATTTCTGAAGGATCATGTGACACTGAAGACTGGAGCAATGATGCTGAAAATTCAGCTTTTCATCACATGAATAAATTACATTTAAAAATATGTGACCCTGGACCACAAAACCAGTCATAAGGGTCAATTTTTCAAACATAGATACAACTATTTGAAAATTTGGAATCTGAGGATGCAAAAAAATCTAAATATTAAGGAAATCGCCTATAAAGTTGTCCAAATGAAGTTCTTAGCAATGCATATTACTAATCAAAAATTAAGTTTGAATATATTTACAGTTGGAAATGTACAAAATATCTTCATGGAACATGATCTTTACTTAATATCCTAATGATTTTTGGCATAAAAGAAAAATCAATAATTTTGACTCGTACAATGTATTTTTGGCTATTGCTACAAATATACCCCAGCGACTTAACACTGCTTTTGTGCTCCAGGGTCACATATGTTCAAATTAAAAATAGTTATCTGCGATTATAATAATATTTCACAATATTACTGTTTTAACTGTATTTTAATCAAATAAATGTAGTCTAGGTAAGCAAGCAGAAGAGACTTCTTTCAAAAATATGTAAAAACTGTAGTGTAGGTTGAACTATTTTGTACATGACGCTTTTCAATATTGAATGAATATAAGTATAATCAACATTTCTCTCTTTGTCCACCTTTTTTGGTGGATTTATGAGTTTGTCTCAGGTCTTGTGTCTTCTATGGATACATGCAATGCTGCATTAGAATTAGGCCAAAATAGGGTTTCTTAGTGTCTACTAACCTTCTATAACAACCTTCACGTTAAGTGTGCATCTATCAATGATTTAAAATGCAGTCTATGTAGACCACTCACTTGGTATTTGAAACAGATCCACTTGTAAATGTTTAATGTAGGTTCTCTGAGCACACTGACCTGCTCCATCACCTCTGGAGCCATCCAGCACGGGGTCCCCACGAACGTTTTCCTCACTTTGTGTCTAGTGACGTCTCCACCAGTGGCCAGAAAAGCACTCACACCAAAATCTAAAGAGAACGATTAACAACCTCATCATACGTCTGATGCACAAACATCTACTGCAAAATCGGTTGACAGTTGGAAAGCAAATATTTAAATGCATATTTAATTTGACATGCATGAAAATGAAAGATAGACACATAGTCTGATAGATTGCTTCTACTGTCACATACTGTTGTGTCTATAAGTCAGTGAAAATATTTATTTCCAAAAATGACAATTAGATGTGAACTATGATATTGGTACAGAGCAACCTTTTAAACAGACTGCATGTCTTTCTTTCACAGCTTTGTTTGCATTTGTGTCAAACATCTACTGTGCTTTCAATAATCAGAAAAGATCTCTTTGTGAACGAATCCTCACAAAATAGTATATCAAAAACAAAGTCCTTTTTAACCCCAAAATCCCTTTTATATATATATATATATATATA